CTTAGCCATTCTTAACATACACCTCACTTTCTCCATAATGGTTCTATTGATTCTTTCAGCCACACCATTATGTTGTGGGGTTCCAGGTACAGTCTTCTCATGTCTGATTCCATGATCAGCACAATAATTCTTGAATTCATGGGAAGTATATTCCCCTCAATTATCTGAGCGAAGACACTTCAAAGATTTACCAGTTTGTCTCTCCACCATAGCGTGAAACCTTTTGAAATACTGAAAAACTTCGTCCTTCGTTCTCAAGAAATACACCCACAATTTTCGTGAAGCATCATCAATAAACGTCACGAAATATTTGCTACCACCGAGACTCTCCTCTTCCATGGGTCCACATACATCAGAATACACCATCTCCAACACATTCTCTTTCAGCTTCGAGGTTTTGCTGAAAGACACTCTATGATGCTTCCCAAAGAGACAATGATCACAAGGATTTAGTTTTGAATCTTTGGCAAACGGGATGAGGGACTTTCTTGCCAAAATTTTCAATCCTTTTTCACCAATGTGAGCCAGTCTTTTGTGCCACAAATTTGGCGAAGCATCATCTTCGACTGCATTCAGGCCACCTTTGATCAGCTTCACTTGAGTTTTGTATAGTGTCGATCTCACTGTACCTCTAGCAGCTAACAATGATCCTTTAGTAAGCCTCCATGTGCCGCTACCAAAATTGTTAGTGTAGCCTGCTAGATCCAATGCATGCACAGAGATCAGATTCAGACGTAAGTCAGGTACATGTCGCACGTCCTTCAGTGTTATTGTGCACCCAATATCAGTTTGAATGCACACATCACCAACTCCCACAATATTTGCAATGCTATCGTTGCCCATCTTTACTCTACCAAAGTCTCCTTCTTTGTATAGAGAAAAGAATTCCTTGTGAGAGGTTGCATGGTATGATGCTGCTGAGTCAATGACCCATTCAACACATGAATCTGCAACATGGCACTCTTCTTCTTCAACAGAGAGCAACACCACTTCCCCATTGATCACAGGGGTTGCGGTATTTTCATCGTTCTCTGATTTGTTGTTCCTCCGATCTCTATTCTTCCAGGCTTTACAGTTTCTTTTGATATGCCCTTCTTCACCGCAGTGATAACACTTGAATTTTCTCCTGGGTTGAGATTGTGATTTCTCTCTGAATTTGTTATTCCGGCCTCTGCTTTTACTTCTCCCTCTGGTTTCTGTGACCAGGGCTTGGGAGCTGCTTGCCCCAGAATCTTTTCTTCTTGTTTCTTCATTAAACATACTGTCTTTGACTTGGGTCAAAGTCAGTTTTCCTTCAGGAGCAGAGTTGCTCAATGAGACCACCAGAGTCTCCCAACTATCCGGTAAAGAACTCAAAAGTATCATCTCCATGGTAACAAGTTGGTTCACCATGTCTTGAAATTCATTCAGGTGTTCTGCAACTGATCTTCCATCCCGATATTTTAAATTCACAAGCTTTCTAATAATGAAAGCTTTATTTTGTGCAGTCTTCCTTTGATACATCTGCTCGATTTTGTTCCACAGAGTATGGGCTTTTGACTCTGTAGCAACATGGTGGAATATGCTGATATCCACCCACTGTCTGATTAAACTGACAGCCTTCATGTGTAACTTTTTCCAATCGTCATCCTTCACGTCATCTGGCTTGTTATCTCCCTTTTCTACAGGATCATACAGATCTTTGTAGAAAAGTATGTCCTCCATTTTTGGCTTCCAAATGGAGTAATTTGTTGCTGTCAGCTTCACCATGGTACCCACGTTCTCCTCCATTTAATTTACACGGTTGATTCAGAGCCGAACCTGGCTCTGATACCACTTGTTGGGCTCAGATGCGCAAATGCGGAAGGTGTAAATTAAAACACCAACGTGAAATAGTGAAAAAAAAAATCTCTTGCAATCAAGTAGGAATAATTCTTTTCTGATGTGGAAGATCAGATTAAACTGCAACCACAGAGCATACTAAGAATATCCCAAATAAATAAAATATGCAAGAAATAATATACCAAGATTTAACGTGGAAAAACCTCCAAAGTAGAGGAAAAAACCACGGGACAACCTCCGAACAATTCCACTATATTATCAAGATAATTACAATATCTTTTCACACTCCCTTCACTAGAAATGTAAAATATAGTGACCCAGTGAGACCCCACTCCTAAACAAATATTACAAACAAGGAGTAATAGAGATGATACCCGACTCGGTGTATTTTTCCCACACTCACAGGATTTACTCAAACACTCTATTTTTCTCTCACTGAAAAATACAAACAAGAATACTAATCTTTCTTCTTGCTTTTTTTCTTTCTCTCGTTGGTGCATTTTTCAGCATTGCAAATGTTGCTATTTATAGCAGAAAGATTGTACAATCTGACAAAAATTGCAGCTCACAATTATCAGCAATGACAAACTCATTTCATTAAAAAATTCCTAATCCATTTAGTAGTTGTAAGATTCTTTCTTTCACATGGCTGGACCTACAGTTTCCAGGTCCAAAACTAGTTTTGGATAATATTGGATACGAGACTTTTGGGTAGCGAGCTTCACAGATATTGGCCTTTAGGTGATATGATAGGTTTGTCTAAAATTATAAGAAATTAAAATTTTGTGAAGTAGCAACTAATATAACAAATTGGTTCATATAACAATATTTTAAATTAATCATATACTCTTCTTAAAAGGTATTTTCTTATTGCCGAATAATCCAAGACTATAAATTTGCTTCAACAACAAAAAGAAAAATTACTCAAAATAAATAATGCCAATACCTTTATTTACATAATCAAATAAATAGCTAGCACGTGCCAAATCAAAATAAGACACATATATATAGTCAATGGTAATTTACTAGCTAGTAAGCACCAAGTTAATTAAATTAAGAATTAGTTATTGGCTAATATTCAAATATTTTTTTTAAAATCCACATTTAAATGTTGATAACAGACTCTCAACAAAGGGGTGTAATGACAAATGTGTGAAACTATGACTTTCACGAATAAACCAAATTAATTCAGTTTAGCTCAGAATCCTTCAATAAAATCTGTTTAAGATCATAACACACAATTTTCTTTATTGAATTTAACTAGACAGTTGACTTCACATATAAGTTAAAAATATAATTTACACCCATTTCCTTATCTTTTATATATAACTAGGGATGTCAATAAAATCCATAGGGCCGGGTTACCCGCGGGTTACCCGCATTTTTGGGTCGGGTAAACCCGAGATGGTCGGGTTTCGGGTCGGGTTCGGGTAGAATTGTGTTACCCGAACACCGGGTCGGGTCGGGTGCGGGTATAGTAGGAAAACCCGTTACCCGACCCGTTTACCCTACCCGTTTACCCGCAACCATTGAATTTTATATATGCATATATATAAATATACATTTTATAATTTATTATAAATATAAAAGTAGTCATGTGTTATTAATATTAAAAATTAGATTATTTATTATAATTTGATCAATGGTTGAATTTTATTTTATTTTTTATAGTTTTATTATCATTTTTTGTTAATTGTACAATAAAAAAATTAAATACTTTATTTTTAAATGTTATATTATTAAATAGACTATAAAAGATAAATAATTATATCTCATTATTTATTTAGAAAATAATATAATTTTTTTTTATAGTTTTTATTGTGAAATTTAGTTAATAAATTATTTGTTACATTATAATTAATTGTAAAATTATTTTATTTTATTTTTTCATATAAAACGAGATGGGTCGTGTAAAACCCAAATTTAAGAACTCGGGTTACCCGTTTACCCGACGAAAACCCACTAACCCGCCGGGTAAAACCCAACCCGAACCCGAAGATCACTAACCGGGTAACGGGTCGGGTTTGGGTAGGATAAATTATATGCGGGTCGGGTTCGGGTTTGCCTAAACCCGTACCCGACCCGACCCATTTACATCCCTATATATAACACTCGATAAAATTGATGTCTCCTATATACACACAGTTTCATATTGGTCTTGCTTTCCAGCTAGCAAAATTACACACGTGAGAGACGATGCACGATAACTTGAGAAAGAAGCTGCGTTCATAATTATTTCCATCTTTCGCAAATCTCAAGTAACAATACAATAAAATAANAAAGAAGCAAGCTGCGTTCATAATTTTCCCCATACGTGACACTTTTTGTATATAGCATTTCATTTAATATATCAATTGTTTCTGAAACCATTGTGTTTGAAAGCAACAACCATCGTCAAGCTTAGCCTTTTCAAATACTAGTACTTCACTTGTGCACTGCGCGGATTTGTGTAAAAAATAATGTGGGTAAATAATAATTTAATTAAACAAAAAATATTCATAAAACATGTATAGAGATAATAAAATGTAGAATGAAATTTTTGTTTATTGCATTTTAAAATGTTTTCCTAAATATAACAATAGTAGTAGATAAATTGTGTTCATAAACACTATTATCATCATAAATAATAATCAACAGGCAATAGAGATTCATAACTAAAAACAACATAATCTTATGGTATTTTGCAAGTGGATTTAGCATTGAATAGTCCAATTTTTGGTTATTGGCAACAATGTGTCTTTTTTAGAGTTACGAATAAAAAAAAAAAAAAATTGAAAATATTTTAGTTATTGACAACAATGTGTCATTTTTAGAGTTACGTATAAAAAGGAATTGAAAATATTGATTTATCATGATTAGAATTTTGATGATAGCAAGAGTAGGAACGATTTTCAATAATACTTAGACTTTTATGCTATTTGTTTGTTTCATTGGTTATTAAAATAAATATATGTATCTGCTTAAATATTTGTTATACTTTAATTTTTAGTATAACTATATTTACTTATAATGGAATTGTTTAAGTATATATGTTTACTTGAAGAATATTTTTACGCAATAAAAATGGAAATATTATCATTAATTTGACATATACCTTTCCACATAGTTGGTAACAGAAACAAATCTTAGGTGTACAGATTAATTAACTAACTAATGCAAACCACATGTTCATCATTAAATGTTTTAGGCCTTCAATATTTTTTTTTTTCAGACATTATTGAAAATTCAAGCTTAAAAAGCAAAGTGCATATCGTAAGACTCAACGAGACCTTAATTCTACAACTGCTCTCATCCAGGCACTGAATACACATTAAATATACATCACCAATTTCTAATATTCCAATATTACTCTTAACACAACAATTACCAATTTCCAATCAAGTCTTAAAACAAAGACACAGCTCGAAGAATTCTACACACCCAAATCACTTCTGACCTCTGTTAATCAATACTATTTTCTTTCACTTCCAGTTAACAAGTCAAAAAATTGGTAAATTACTAAAAATTTCCCATGCAATGTTCATATTAGATTGCATAGAGGCGATTTCAAGATTACTAGCGGGAAATCATGTCTTCAGTCCTGCTTCAAGGCTTTTCTTATGACAGTTCTTGCTATTGCTATAACGAGGTACGACAAAAAGGTAATGATAATACCCAATAATAAAATTAGGTTGTCATAGGTAGAGGTTTGGACCGTGTAAACCCGGAGATTGATTGTATCCCAATTGCTTTCAGTCCAAATGGGATCCTCAGTGGCCATAGTATCCGAGGAATTAATGGGTTGCACTGTCCAGCTTTCGACTGAATCGTCGTACTTCAAACGGGTCGAATATGCAGGGACATACCTGAGATAAAATTGCAGTTGTTAGCACATATAAACATCAATCATCATTCTGAATTTCAGAAAAAAAATAAAAAAATAAAAACATAATGAAAATCAAAATTTTACATTTGGTTATTTACAAAAATAATTCCAAAATTCACAATCAGGGTTACTTACAAGTTTTACCTCCAAAAATTACCTTGAGAATTCTTTTTAACAGTTATATTTGCCTAATTAACCGAAAAAATTACCTCCAAAAATTACCTAATTAACCGAAAAAATAAAATATTCGCCAACTATGAGTTAGGATTTCTTTTTATAGGTTTATTTTCTTGTCTCAACTTAATAAATATACTTCTCGGTTAACAAGACAACTTTATTTAGCTTGAAAACTTAAATGGGATCATGGATGCACCAATATCTGAACTCCTCTTCAATCTCGGTCACTTTATTGAATAAAAGTTGTGAAACACTAAACCAAAATACACGAGAAAGAAAATGCCAACAAAATACATATGGATTTAAAAAAGATGGTCTTTCTATCATTTACCTTAACTCCCGTGCCAAAGCCTAATAATACATTTAAATTGGGATGAAGAGAGTAGTAAGTAAACTGAGAGATACATGGACCGAACTCTGTTATCAACCATTACATATAAAGCGATGTGGTATCACTTGAGCTACAAGCTTGTGGTAAAAAAGTGGGACTTTATTGGGTCTTACATTTACCATATTTATAGTCGTAAAAGTGGAAACTCCCTCTTTGTAAAATATTGCAACTAGCCCTTTGATTTGTGATTCTAACACTTGATCAAACCTTGCTAGTATTTTTTAAATTTAAACATTAGCAAGATAGTTTCTTATTAAGGTCAAACCTCAAGGTATTTTTTTTTTTCGCTATCCCTTAGTACAATTACCAAAAACGGCAAATTCTTCCAAAATTATAAGCACCCACTTGACATTTTTCTCTTTTGCAAATTCCATCNAAAAAAAATCTTCATAAGAAGTTATAGCATTTCTCAATTGGATTAGATTGCGTGTATATTCATAATTGTCCCTTGAATTTTTCAAGAAATTCTAACAGTCAATGAAGATAACTAGGACCAAACCTTTGTCAAAAGCTCTAAACACAGAATACAATTGCTTAACGCTGATTGCAAGTTACCTGGTTGTCGAGATAACACAAACTCCTTTTCCATCAGCCTCTTCTCTAATGCACAATTCATCAACATCATGGCAATCCTTTGGGCATGAGGAGCTTACATTTTTAGATGGTATTGAAGTCTTATCAGCTAAAAAGTTCCACACGAACCTCGAAACATCGCCGACATAGGGAGGATAAGGCGTAGATGATGGTTTTCCCAATATGACACCCACATAATGGCTCGGGCAAGCTGTTGAGGGTGAAATGTAGTGCTTCACGAGTTCACATGATAGCCCGGGATCACAATTCAATAGGCAGCTGATAAGCTCGTCAACTAAAGAAGAATTGATCTTTATGTTATTTATAGCTGAAGGATTTTCACCACCAGCAAGGATATATAGAGTTCGGGCAACAAGGGAAGCAGCTGCTGTGATGGATGAGGAGTTTATATTTGCTGCACATGAAAGCAACAAGTGCACTCTTTTGACTAAATATATTATTATTGATTGCACAATTCCAATGCATAAATATATGAGGGGACTGAACAAAGCAGATAGATTACAAAAGGGTTTTGGTTCACTAACATAGGTCATCAAAATGGCTGTGGTAGAACTCGTTGCTGAAAGCAGAATCAAAATCTTCCAACACAAGCCCAGAAATCAGTGGTTTCTGCAAGCAATTACAAAGTAAAAAATTCAGCAAAGACGGTATGATAATCCAAAAGTCTTCCAATTCAGAAAATCAAAAGTTTTATTTGGTTGATGAAACCATGAGGATTTAAAATAGTAATCTTACATGTATTTTAATCTATTTTATCTAATAATTATATGTACATTCTAAGTGCGTTAAACTCACATTAAATCTCAATATAGAAGTGGAACATGAAATTTTAATCAAACAAATCCTTATTCAATCAATGGGTTGGGTATTATCAGTTATTAAATATTGTCAGTTTTCATTTTCTTCCTTTCACCCACCCTTGAACGAGGAATATTTTCTGATTGCACTCTTGTACTAGGTCATTATATTCTTCTCTTTCATTTTTCTAAAATCTTTTACAAGTGGGTTGTGTGGATTATTCTGTCTACTTCCGCAAGTTCATATATAATGAAAGATTTGATGGGAGTCCCATATTGATGTCATAAACATAAGGAGATAAAGGTGCAAAATCAGACTTGCATTTGAAGAGGGTCTCAACACTAACCTTTCTCAAAAATGTCATTAACGAGGATGGAGGTACCCCAGGATTTGATGTACTGGCTGCGTTGACCAAAATGCTTTCAGATGCCAAGGAATCTTTCGCGTGTTGTAGTGCATTTAATGTTCCATTCACAGCGGATGTAGTCTACAGAATTTATCGATAAGACTGTCAGGAAATTGCTAGCCAAATTATTGCTTATCATGGAACCATGATCAAGGTGTAAAATTAAGAAAAGACCAGAATAGAGTAGTAAGATTTAACTAATAGGTTAAGCTACTACAGCAAGTGGTGCCTTACCCCAGCAGTATGAGCAAAAAAGGTTTTGATGCCCTGAGGGTAGCTCTTTCCCACTGACCCAATTTCCAATACCTACGAAAAATCATGAAAATTCGTAGAAAGTTCACATTTCACTTAAACATAAAAATTGCACATGCGTGACAGTTCTTTTTTCTTTAACACGACCAACAGTTTCAAGTGTCGATATTCATTTAATGCAGGAATTTGTATATCGAATTGCAAAAATAAGGCGCACAGCACTCTCTTAAAAGATCAGGGAAAATCAAGCAGGGGGATACCGAAAAGAGACACTGGTTGAAAATCTTGTAGCAAAGGCCATTGATGGATATGAACATGTCAATTGAGCAATCATATCACTCTTAACTATGTAACATGATATATATTTGGGATTCCACACTAAAACCGAACTCCGAAGCTACTGAACTACATTAACCAATCGATCTAAGTGTTCCTCTACATTTGACAATCTTCAGCCAAACCTCAAAATTTCGAACACGAAAAACATGTTCCTGGAAAGCTAAGTTGACTTTTGAACAAAAGTGGCTCAAGAAGGAATACCGTTCCAATGTTTTCCAGGTTGAGGCCTTTCATGGACTCTGATTGTTGATCAAACTCTAGAAAAAGTCTCCGGCTCCCAAGATAGCCCCAAGTTTCTCCAGTGAGAACCACAAAGACAAGCTGCAGCGCATAAAAATGAGAGATAAATAGTTGATACACTAGTATAGCAAGTCAAAGGTCGTCAGTATTTAGACTACATAACAAATAAATGTTGTATGGCACAAGTAGATAATACTATTCCAATATATAGAAAGCGTTTCAATTTATGCCAATGAGATTATTGCATATAGAAGCAACATCAGTAGTAATAAAGTCTTGAGTATAAAATTTCAAGCAGATATGTGTTGAGAAATACCAACCTGCTTATTAAGCTGTCCTAACCCATCCAGACGTGATAGTGCATCAACAACAGCAAGCAATGCAACTAGACCCTGCAAATTTAGGTTGGCATTTGGCTTAGTATCTTTTATATCAAGAAATAAGTCTGTGATAGAAGTTCTTCAGACAAGTAAACAAAAATAATAATAATAAAACAAGGTAACTTACAGATATAGGGGACTCGGCTCCTAGGCTTTTGTCACGGAAAAAGGACGCAGAGTCCATAGATGTCATCACCAGCACAATTGGTTTTCCATTTAGTTTAGACGAAGTTTTAATTGGTGGAAGTGCTGACCAGACACTGCCCTTAAAATTAAAGGCACGGAGGTAAAAAATCAAGATCAGGCCAGGCAACATTCTGAACACCAGAACCATAACAGATGGCTTTCACGAGTCTTTCAAACTCACAGCAGTTATATAGCACAGAATATAAGAAATAAAAACATTCCCTTCGTTGCAAGAAACTGAAAACGATCACCAGATACTCAATGCCAAAGTAGGACAGACAACAGCTAGTAAGCAAGTATATTGCTTCCCATCAATTAAGACAAGGTTTAAAAGACCTAACCATTAAGGTGGAGATACCAGGACTTCATAAAACCTAGCTTTCCAAAAAATGAAGAAAAGAAGTGTAGGAAATGTAATGTTTGTTTACATTCCCAAATCCCACCACAGCTGAAGGCTTCCAGTATAATTTCATGGAATTGTTTCCGGTAAGTGTTGAAGAAATCTATGAAGAAACTCCCAGGTTACACTCCAAAGTTGGTGAAAATCATCTCACTCAAGCACGACTATGCTGTCAAGAAGGTGTATCTTAATTATGTGATGAATGACATCTAGCAATCATCTTATCTGCTCGCTATTATTATACTAATAGATGGTACTCGTACTCAAAGTTGATACAGTTCCCAATCACAGCCACCATCCTAATATATGCAATTTGCACGTTCCAGTGCACATCTATGAATATATGAGAGCTATATTCAAAAGTCAAAAAAGATCCAACCAATTGAGAATATGCCGGCAATTAAAAAGGTGGCACCATGGCACGGCGAGGCCTGGGCATGGCGAATAGATGTTGCGAGGCACACATGCGAAAGGTGCGCACCTCAACAAGCTTTGTTGGGTAATTAAACTGGGACTAATTTTTCTTTGTGGGCATAGAATCTCTATTTTTGCATATTGGCTCAACCAGCTTTCAATAAGGCGAGTGACGCGCATCACACCTTGGAAAATAGAAGTCATGTTGCGTCGTCTCGCCGCACACCTTTTAATCACTGGAATATACATGGCAAAGTGCTTGCACAATCCAGGATAACAAATAATATAAGCAGTTACAGTTGTCACCTTTCAGATATTATGTCCGCAAGCATAGTAGATTGTATCCCTAACATTTTATACAATTTTTCACACTGAAATCATTTTTATGGAAACAAAAGGCAAGAATAACAATATAAAGCATGCGATACAATAGCAGTCTAGCAATAAATTGTTGAACTCTAATGTCTGATACGCTATGCATCAATAGCCTGTTGCAATTGTCGAAGACCAGTGAATTACACCATCACACATTTCTTGGCAAAATTACCAGTAACTTAGTTTGATGATAAAAACAGAAATTCATGAAACCAACCTGTATCCACCCAAGGGAAGACAAGTTCCTTCTTTCAAACAAGAGTCAGAGTTATGAGTACCAGATTTTGTAGTCTTTTTCCCACCCAAAAAGAAAAAAAAATCTCAGAAATAGATCAGTGAAAAAATGAAATTCTTTATATTCACAATTATATTATAACAATGAAGAAGTTAATTTATCAATATTGTCTGCAGACTTGTACCTGCATAACTAAATCAAACTCAGAAACAACTTTAGTATAAGATTTTTTGTTCTTCTCATTCTTCAAGGCAACCTGCAAGAACAAAAAAATTATAGGTTGAAACTAGGTACATGAAGAAAGAAATAAGAAACCAAAATGTTAAAGCAAAACCACACTGTCACTTGCTTAAAGTGAAAGGGAAACTGGCTGCAATTCCATCAACAAAAATCCAAACCTATATACAGCATAATTAGTTTTTTACCCAAAAATAAGCTAATAATTAATATAACACTAAGAACACAATTAGTAGAGCTTAATACGCAACTTCCATAAACATTCGTATATGTGTTTGAATATATTTATGCAAAGAGATGCAACCAAGTGTCAATTTCTCTCACAAGGAAGTTAAGTATTTCCGTTTATATCACAACAAAATACAGAAGGATGCAATAAACCATGAAGCCAAGATTGTGGTGAGGACATAATTTCTTTCAATCACACAAATACCTCTTGCAAGGTCAATGTGCTATTCTGAGAGAGCAAAAAGATGGGAAAATTATAAGCCTTCCACATGATTCCAGATCCCTGCAGACAGGCAACAGGTTGCACCAAGTGAAAATCGAAGCAGTTTGTGGGCCTAGGAGTTGTCATATGTGCAACATCAACACAGCAACATGCCCTATGGCAGTTCAAAATCAGTCCTTACTTTTTGGCTGAAAATATATAGCTAAATTTCCAATATTATGCTAACATGTCAGTGCTATTTCGAACTATTGCATAATATCATGGTCAAAGTACCAAAAAGGGGTAAGGTAGATAGAAGTACATAACCCCAAATGGTGAGGGTGGACAGTTAAAACAAAGAGTACAAGTGGATCCAAGTCGCAACAAACTATTACTACGCAAGTTCCTCACAAACATTTTACCCAGACAACATAATACAACCCCAGTGATTTAATACTCTCTTCTATGGCATGAGCAGAAGTCCGTCATATGAGCTCCAAGCTAAAAGATACTGCATTTTGATTCAGTTAATTGGTTCCAGTCTTGGAAAAAACAGACATTCAACCTAGAAACTAGATGTGGAAACATCGATGAGGTGAAAAAGGACTTCAGACAACCTTAGCATTTACGAAAGTCCTAACAAACTCAAATGAGATGTACTTTGAACCAATCCCTCTTATAAACTGGTTTCAAAACTAAAACGAAAGTGGAAGAGGAAGTTATGTATAATCCTTTTCAATCAACATGAGATACTGCATGAGAAACTCATTCGTAGAGCTGAAAAGCCCACTATTCCACTTTTCCAATGAACTTCTACTTACTTTGTGTCGTTGATCTGTCTATCTGGCAGAATTGAGAGGCTTAAGCACAAAACTATATTCCCTCTTTCAGCAATGTTTTATTACTTTGGATGTTTAGGGGCAGAGTTAATAACAACTCTGTGGCCTGACTTAGGATGGGATGTTCTTGAGCCGGTAGGTATCGTAGTACTAAAGGTTGTTTCATTATTTCAAGAACTGATCAATATTACTTACCACTCAAAGGAATAATGTTTGCATGACTTTTAACCCATCACTATTATCACTTTGAGATAAAGCACAACTAATAAACCGGTTATTATGAGATACTAATAAGCTTTTGCAACATACAGCCGGGTTCCACTCAAAATTGTTGTTTCTGTATGGAGCAAATTCTGCCTGTGGAAACTTTACATCTGGGGAGAATCCTGAAAGGTTACAAAGGATAGATTATTTTCTGAAGAACGTTTCTTTAAAAGCTTCAAACAAAATGAAATTGGTTGACAATTACGGTATTACCTTTGAAACTATTTTGAACATGAGTTCCAGATTCAACCAAAATCCCAGCCACATTTCTAGCAAAACTTGAATCACTCAATACTCTGGAACATAGAAACCAAATAATATTTGATTAAAAAGGACGGACAACATCACCGACGAAAGGTTCGTAATGAATTCCACCAATGAACATAAAGACATTTAAAAAAGAAAAAGAAAAAAAGAAAACAGAAAAAGTTGCCTAACGTCCATCCATGTATACGGCTCCACTTTTAGGTCACACTGTCCATGAAAAAGAAAATAGAAGGAAAAAATACAAAGCAAAAGGACACACTGTCCATGAAAAAGAAAATAGAAGGAAAAAATACAAAGCCAAAGGAATATTCAGACAGCCGATCAAAAGTATTTGCGTAAATAAGTCGAGTAATTTTTTTCAACCCAGTATAGCAACAAGTTCTCCATGTCCATGATCAAAATGGTAAACCATCACACAGTAGCAAGCAATGACCAAGGAATGGATTCAAAATGGGCTCAGACGAATATACATCTGAGAGCAAAATTGAGAATGAGGGAGAAATGTGAATGAATTAGTTGTAACAACACTGATGTTTTATGAGCAAAATGGGTTTGGATGAACTTGATGCATCCAAATCTCAAGCTACATTTGGAACTGAATATTTTAGGAAGTAAAACTGCTATCACTACCAAATGATAAAAATCTATGTCCCAAAACATTGTGCGCATGGCACACAACTGGTTTCAGTAAACCAAACAAATATATGCATACAATTATTTAAATTGCAATTTGACATTATTTTTTAAAAGGATGACATTTCATAGAGCATGTATGCATTTTTTCATACACCAAAAGTATAGCACCTTTTTAACATTAGTCGGACTGCCAGTAAGCAACTTACTGCCAATTGAAATGTGAAAGGGACTAAAAACATGCTAAATCAGAAACTACACTATGCAATATATATATATATATATATATATATATGAACAAAATTTAATAAAAAACGAACAACATAATTGAAAAGTAAATCAACACATTTCCCTAATAGGTACACGCCTTGAAAGTAAGCTTTCAAACTCATCTGGATAAACCAAGACTGAAGCGGGTTCAGTCAGCTCCTTTGCATTCTTAAATCTAACAACTGGAGCAACAACATTTCCACGGCCAGGATCTAAATTCCAAGTTAAGTATTGTTAAGTGAGCTGAATTAGAAACTAATGATAAAAAACTTTAATAATGATGGAAAGAAAATACCAACTTGAACAGCCGATTTCCCCTGAAAGATTGAGAAGCCGTACGCATGGGAATCCATCGATTTGTGTGTACATAGACTTTTCAAGGTCAGGAACCGATTCAAATGAGTTTGTTCCTCCTGAAGCTGTAAAATAATACTAAAGCTTCAATGATGTGCAAATACTTGAATCAAGACTTGCAAGAAATAGTGCCAACAATCAAAATAAGTATCATAAGTATACAAGCTCATGCAATTAACCTCCACAAAGAAAAATGAAGCCACCAACAGTCGATCAAAACAAACAATTTGTAACAGCATTCCCCAAAACCAAAACAAATAAAAAAAATTAAAAATTAAAAATCAGCGATTGAAACAGATAACGAGAAAGGACGTAATCAAAGTTTCTCATAAAGCTCCTTTCTCCTTGGAAATTTATGCAATAGGAAAAAAGAGATGACAAAAGCACCTGCGAAAGAATAATGAAGGCGAGCGGCGAGGCAGAGTAAAGCTAGCAACAGTGAGGCCTTCAACTCCATGGCTCATGTAAACAAGGCTGCTGGTGGTAAGCGGTAAATGTGCAGCCGGAGGAACCCTAGTCCACGAGCTCCGATGGCCGACGGAGTAATTGATCAGTTGCTCCTACCANTTATTTTTTTTTATTATTTTATCTATTTTACTTTTAATTTTTTTGAGATAATTTATATGTATTATTAGTTTTTCTATGTTTGCTTTTTTCTTTTAAAACTCAATGATTTTCATTACATAAAATAAAAAGAAGAATGCAACATCTATAATTTATATAAATAATAATAAACACTTATATGATAATAAATTTTAGAATAAAATAATAATTGAGTATTATACGTTGAGCAAGAATAAGTAAAATTGATATTTTTCTTATTTCATAAAATAAATATATGTACCAAAATCAAATTTATATTGTGACCAGACTAGAGGAAGTTCTCGTGATTTTCAATCTTTTCTATTAGGTAATCTAGAACCCTTATGCATCAAGATAAGCTTTCAGTCATTGTGCTCGGACTTTATTATGGATTTCTGACCACATATTTCATAGGGCTCTCTTATCTCTTCCTTCTCGGAACTCGGGTTATGGAAAAAAAAAAACTAAAAAGAAAAATAAATATATGTACTAAAACTAAATTTATATTAGTATAAACGTAATAACAAAATAATATATTAATTAACCTGCAAACTAGCTCTACAGTATAATACATTAATTAACCTGCAAACTAGCTCTACAATATAATACATTAATTAACAGTTAACCCTAATAGCTCAGTAAACACACTAATTAAAATATGTGGAAAATGAATTATTCACACCTATTTTTTGGGTCTAAAAGAATATGACGATGGTAATAAATTATTTAATATCTCTGTCTTCTACATCACACTTCACACCACACACTGGAGAAAGCAAAATTAATTTCTCAAAACACCAAACCCTAACATCACCCGACTTGCATCAAATTATTAACTTCCAAAAACAACAACAGTTAAAAAACATTCTACCAAAGTTCAAAAAATGCTCGTGTATTTATTTATTTTTGAACAACATAGCTATTCTTTGTGGGTCTTTCTTCTTTTGGCCCTTTGATGTAACTAATTGTGGCCCTTAGATGTAATTAATTGTGTTGTGTCTCTTGGGTTGAACTCGTTTCATATGCACTTTGTTGTTTCCCTAATTGTTGGTTTTATGAATTCTAAATGGCTCTCTGTTGTATATCCATCCTGGCGATCAGTTATGTTTTGAAAAAATCTATTTAGTTAATGGAATTTTGTTATCTATGGTGAAAAACTCACCCAACCACAAATTAACGCTTTCCATTAATATGGCGTGAATTCCCAACCAACTTAACTTTTGATAGACAAGCAGACCTAAGAGTTCATTTTCAACGTGACTTAGAACAGTTAAAAGCAGCTGAAGGAAGAAAATGTTTTGGGCATACTTCAATATCATAAACCAAAATCAAGTTCCGCTCGTCTGAGCACAGAAGTCACCCTGGCATAGAATTCAGCTTCTTTTTCTCTTATATCTTCCAGTGACCTTGATTCATGTTCATCAGCCTGTGAAAGAAGAGTCGTTTTTCTAAGGACTACAGATCTCTTTTTTCTCTTAATCAAATAGTATGATAATTGATACATTTAAGATCGATATGAAATAGTACAGCATCGATTTTAAAAACATGTTCATGTATGATTTATTTTATAAAAGACTGAATAGCCTTCTGATTCCTAATGATGATTTGTATTGATAAAATAATAAAATATTACCTCACACTTCGGGATCATATAAAACCATTTCATAAAGACTAGTTTTACATTCAGTTTTCCCCCATTACTACGTATTTACATTTAATAAAGCCTCACAATGTTCAAACTTCATAGTAGCCTGCTTCTACTAACTTTTATTGCAAAAGAGCATCATCAGAAAACCTAATCTTTGCCATGCTATGAGTATCTAATAAAGTTATCAGCATACAAGACTTCAAATTTAAAATCAATAAATGTGGAAGGTCGATCTTAAAAGAGTAGCTGCTCAAAGAGACCATCTGCATTACACTACAGAACTCAGTTAAATTCATACCTCTGCAAATTTTAGGAGAATTAGATTTGAGATAGAAGCTGGCTTCGTGCTGTCCCATCTGAATGGTATGGTGGTTCAGAAGCATTAGAATATGTG